TTATTTGTGTTAACATTTGATTTCAGCAATCTCTCTTTACAATTATAAAACTATATTTGAGGGTTGGTTTTAAATCAGTTGAGTGTGATATTTTCCTGATAGTGGTTGTACTTTGAAGAATGAGCTTCCTCGAAGTATAAGATATTGAGTCGTTTTAAGTCTCTATCCGCCCCTCTCCCCCCCACAGGTGCTCGTCCAGTCTTGGTGCCCATATAAAAAAAATGAAGTTTAAAAAAAAAATTGAAAAAAAAAAAATTGAAAAAAAAAAAAAAAAAATTTGAAAAAAAAACAACATCAAAATAACTATTTTGGGTTGAGTGTAAGAAAAAAAAAATTTGAATTTTTTTTTTTCCTATATACCATTACTATGAAAAGGTCACCTAGTCGCCGTAACGCTATGGAGCTTTACTAGGACACGCTGTGGAACAACCAAAATATCGAGTTCTGTAACAATACAAGCTATTTTGCTACTCTTTACACATCGTGCATTTAGAAAATTGTTAACATTCTTCATCTACCTTACATACAATCTTAAATAACTTACATTTTAACTCGGACACTTCAATTTGTTAAAATCTTGCAAAATTCCGTTGATGGTCGGCCATTTTGTCAAAAACGAAAGTACAAAACATACATCGTACTGTTCCGCTCTCCTGGTTTCCTACAACTACGTGCGAGGAACAGTAGACAACGGTAACCATCAATTTATTGGTTACTGTTGTCTATTGTTCAGCGAACGTAGTCGTAGGGGACCAGAACAGCGAAACAGTACGGTGTATGTTTTGTACTTTCGATTTCGACAAAATGGCCGACTATCACTGTTGTTTTGCAAAATTTTAACAAATTGGAGTGTCCGAGTTAAAATGTAAGTTATTTAAGATTGTATGTAAGGTACAATAAGAATGTTAACAATTTTCTAAATGCACAATGTGTAAAGAGTAGCAAAATAGCTTTTATTGTTACAGAACTCGATATTGTGGTTGTTCCACAGCGTGTCCTAGTAAAGCTCCGTAGCGTTACGGCGACTAGGTGACCTTTTCATAGTAATGGTATATAGGAAAAAAAAAAATTTTTCAAATTTTTTTTTCTTACACTCAACCCAAAATAGTTATTTTGATGTTTTTTTTTTTTTTTTTTTTTTTTTTTTTTTTTTTTTTTTTTTTTTTTTTTTTTTTTTTTTTTTTTAAACTTCATTTTTTTTATATGGGCACCAAGACTGGACGAGCACCTGTGCTCCCCCCCCCCTTCTCTATCCCTCTGTCTCTATCGTTGCAAAAAATAGCAATTAATCCTTGAGTGCCATTCATATTGATGTTAAATCCTATAATGTTCTGAATGTTGTTTTCATTAGAAATTATACAAGAAGGAAATTTCAAATGGCGTCTACATGAGGAACATTAGCCACCATATATTGATATAAATTCAACAACACAAATAAGCCCATGTTCATAAATATGCAGAAAACTCGATGTTAAATCATGTACATATAGGTTGAGATATTTTAAAGCAGGTAGCTCACAGACACTCAGGGGTCAAACTCTGACCCAATATTGCTAAGCCCTTGTCAACTAACAGAAGCTTTTGATATTTGAACACGGGTTAGACATCTGTATAAATTTTAAACTTGGTTTGATTTAATGTCCACGTGATTTACCAATTGAAACTTGATTGTAAATTGGATGTTTAAAATTCGTCAGGAAATAGAAATTAAAAACATGTTTTATGATTGAAACAGGTGTCACATTCATGCTAAAATGTGAGGGTTGACAAGGGATGAGAAAAGTACGGTCAGGGTTTGACTTCTGTGTGGGGTGGAAGGTCAAAATTGTATTTTGTCATTTTCAAATGTGTTTTCTTTTCTTCTTTTTTATCAGATTATATTGAATAGTGTTGCAGACCGTTCGAGACATTATGATTGTGTTTTTGATACTAAGTTATTTCCTTTTTTACTTTTCCTGGTTGGGTGGTCCCTGTTCAGTATTCCGTATTTGAATAAATTTTAATCATACTTATGATATATTTCCTGCTTTTTTATTTGTCTTTGATATGCAGACTTTATAACTTCTGATCCCTTTCAAAGAAAAAAATTTCAATGGACATTCTAAAATAGAATATAAAGGATAGTTCTTGCTATTCTAAAATGAAATTCTAAGGATAGTTCTTGCCAATATAAAAATGTAAAGGATCGTTCTAAAATAAAATATACATGTACAGGATCGTTCTTTAACTTTCTAGTTAAATTCCTGGGATATTTAAGTTCTGTTTAAACATACTTCCTCCCACAAAACATTTTACAATGCGGTTAGATCTCATTACATTTTCTAGCGAACAGTTTATGTTAATAAAAAATTACCAAGTTTATTATACACAAGAACTTACTGAGTAAAATAAAGATACCACCAATAGCGTTCAAGGTTCTTAAGTTTACTTATGCGAAATAAGTGAAAAACAGAATCCCCAAAGAAAGCCCAACACGACAAAATTGTAAAATGTTGCAGGCTCGGTTTGATTGAGCCTGTTCATGGACGGTACTGAAAAGTGCAAGTTACCGTCCACGCCCCCTAGCACCGGCTTAAGCAGAATTCAATATTTAAACACAAAAATGGTGAAATTTGGAATTTAGAAACATCCGCAGATGTGTTCATACGGCGGTTATCATGGAACCTTCAATGTGACACAGTAGTGTCAATCCATGAAAAGCGGCGTATGGTCCCCAAGTAAAAGAATGCGTGTGCCCTAAACGAGAAAACAATGGGCGGACCTAAATAAAATGGAATTTAGAAAGGGGATCTGAGGTTATGAAGCCTGCATATCACAGACAAGACGTCAAAAACACGAATATCAAATACCCTTAGTTTATGATGTTCAGCAAGTGTCCAATATATTATATGATCATTGATATGTTCATTTGGTATAATGGTTATTATAATTTGCATATATTTTAATAAATATAATTGCCTGCCGACTGCGTTGATATTGAGTTCACTTACCAAAACACGACATATTCATTTAGAAACACATATATGTTACAGTGTTTCATTTTCAGGAGAGATAAAAACCTTGTTTAGTATGTCAAATAAATAGATATGTATCGGAATATTCAAGTTCATCAAGTATCTTTTAAAAGAAAATCTTGTTATTTTTGTCTGCATTGGTGCATTTGGAGTTTATATGCATTTACGACAAGTTGATACTACATGTATATACTGGATACAACTTACCAATTTCCTCACAGCGGTTACGTCACGCTTTGCTACTTTAACCACTGCCACCACTGAAATCACGGGAAATAACCGCTCAGCGAGGATATTTGACAACTTACAAGAGCTGAGCTTTATTTCATCACCTAGTATTTTCTGAATTGGAGCCCATGATGGAACGAATGTAGCTAACATTTACTAACATTTACTAACGTTTACTTTTACTAACAATAACTAACAGTCATCATTTTATTGATAATTTATTTATAGATTCTACTTCATCTTACTACACATCCTTAGATTACTTACTAAAACAAGCAATTATCATAGTATTGCAAGCAATCCATAAGTCCCCTACCGGTTAGAACCCCATCAACATTCTGAAGGGCCATTGGCCATTCACTAATGTTTCAATTTTTCTCTATTTTAAGTAAACTTGTTGGAAAAGTTCTTTAAAAGTGATCACAGGAAACAGTTTTTATGAACAGACAGACGGACTGAAGGACACTCTAAAGTTAATATTTGAAACATCCCTGTTACCAAAATATAACATTTTAAAACCAAAATTCTTAAAGAGGAGATAACTCTTGAATTAAAGATGCAATTTCATAAAAAAATACAGCTCTTTTTGACTAATCACAAATATTGTTATATTTGCCATGTTTTAAGCCTATTTGTTGCCAAGGCAACTGATATTTTTTCAAAATAGGAAGAAAAGATAAGACATGCATAATCTCAAGACTGCTATCTACCCATATGTCAAGTTTCATAAATATATTTCCATTACTTTATGAGTTATCACTGGATTCAGTTTATGTGTAAAATTTGCCATATTTTCAGTCTATGTGTTGCCATAGCAACCATAATTCTCAACATAGGAAGAAAAGAAAAAGACGTGCATAATCCCAAGACTGCCATCTACCCATATGTCAAGTTTCATAAAAATATTTACAGTACTTTTTGCTTTATCACTGGATTCAGTTTATGTGTAAAATTTGCCATATTTTCAGCCTATTTGTTGCCATAGCAACCAGAATTTTCAACAGAGGAAGAAAAGAAAAAGACGTGCATAATCCCAAGACTGCCATCTACCCATATGTCAAGTTTCATAAAAATATTTCCAGTACTTTTTGCGTTATCACTGGATCCAGTTTATGTGTAAAATTTGCCATATTTTCAGCCTATTTGTTGCCATAGCAACCATAATTCTCAACATAGGAAGAAAAGAAAAAGACGTGCATAATCTCTATACTGCCATCTATTCATATACCAAGTTTCATAAAAATATTTTCAGTACTTTTCAAGTTATCGCGGGATCCAGTTTTGTGGACGGACGGACTGACAGACAGACGGACGGACAGACAGACGGACGGAGGGTAAACCTAAAGTCCCCTCCGGTAAACCGGTAGGGGACTAATAAATCATTTTAGTTCTTAAAACAAACTCTTTGTAGTTTATCTGAAATTATTCTATCAAGGCACCCACAGGTCGGAGTTTTCCTTCTAGGCTCGAACAACGGCTATCTTTCCTTCCCCAAAAATATCACATCATTGATGCTTTTTTCTGTATAAGTGTTTTTCGATCTTTTTTATAAGTGTTTTTCAAGAAGAGATGTGCTTGAACTGACACTGCTGTTGACAAAATCATATATCTTGCAAGATTTTCGGACTTCAAGATACTGATCATATTTTACATGCTGAGAGTACAGAATACACACTTAAACTGCAGTGAGCTTCTGTTAAACTCGATACATATGTGGTTACTAATAGACAGGCAATGAATTGACAACAAACGTCAATGTTTGTAACTAATTTTATTAACTACAGACATCTTAGTAAAAACAGAATTAAAGAAGTAACAAAGTATGAATAAAAATGACAATACGACTAAATAATTGTTTTCATTTATATAAATGATTTCAGAAAAAATGTCACATTCACATCAACTTAAACAAGAAAACACAAACAATTGCTGAAACAATTTATGAATCGGATGTTTTATATTAAAATGATCAGTAAAGAATGCCTTAAGTAATCCAAAATTGTCACTAGTTACCAAACATCATTTTCAAGCATATATGTAAACATTCGTTATCATAGACATAAAGTCGCATCTGTAACCGATATAGAACTTGTCAGTTGATTTTGATAGACTAATACGCCAATTACCTCAATAATGAAGGAAACTTCCTATTTGGATGAATGATTTATCAATACTTTGGAACTATACTTTTGATGACCTAACCAATACTTTTATAAACTTTTTTTCAAGAAAATATTTGGTAGCTCAAAGGCAATATATACTTGAAAATGTATATATACAAAATGGAATGTGATCTGAACGATCTGCATTGCTAAATTCCAATTCTTCACTGGTAGTATATTGATCTGCTAGCTGTACGTAATAAACATTAACATTGTTGAAAGTTGACAAGTTAAGCTTACATAACAATATTTGTGTTTCCTTAAATATTTTATTCATATTTACAATAGGCTATAATACAATGTATTGTGTTACGGACAAGATGCATACATTATAATAGTTTTATACACCATTCATATTGTAATAGTCTTAGACAAACATAAACAACATACCTACAAGTATTGTGCTGTTTGTTTTGTGCAGCAAAACTGACAAAATAAAATTGAACACAATTGTTTTGAGTGTAGAAAATGTAAAGCCCTGACATCAACCGTTATCATCTCTGCTGTAGATTAATATGACCTCGATAGATAAACAAAACATAATTAAAGTACTAAAGACCGCACATGATATTCAACTGCCTATTTTTTCTTTTTCTTTTTCTTACCGGCTTTTGGTTTTTTTTCTTTTGGTTCTTTTCCTTGTTGTTTTTGTTCTTGTTTTTTCGGCGGTTTGCTAATGATGACCGACCCCATCTCGATGGTAGATTCTATATCTTCTATCATACCCTTTGCCTAAAATAAGTAAATGCACAGTGTTAAAAAGATATTTTGCTGGGCATACTGGTTTGTTGTTTCATATTTTTTTTACTTTCACAAAAATAATTATTCTTGCTTTCTGTATTAAAAGCGAACAATCAACAAACAATAGTACAGCAATATGTAATCATAAATTATTTGTTTATGCCTACTATAATTATGTAATCAACTTTCTATAATTTTATTTCTTATTCAATCTTAAACAACGATGCATATACATATTGTGTGCGACATGAAATATCAATATTTAGATGCTAAAATTTTGCAGCAGCATCGGCCGATTTAATTTCTACCTCCCATGAGCATATTGTGAAAAATGGCCATTTTCATTGAAAAGCCTCCTGTTACAAGTTCAAACTGCTATGAAACTATGAAAAATGCTTCAATACTGATGAAACTTGGCACAAATGTTGACTGGACCATAGCCTCTGTAACAGCATGCTCATTCGCATATTTTCTGTTACCATGGCAACGGGGGACGTCTCAAAATTGGGAAAAATCACTATTTTGCATTGTTTTTTTTCCAACAAAACTGATTTTAAAGTGCTGCAACTTCTCAATGAATTAAGATAAAGTAAAAGGCTTTTCAGCGTCGGTTACTAGTTACCCTAAGATCGACCTGAGGCCATTTTAAGCCTGACACATGTCCAAAATTTTCTTGGCGATGAGGGGGACTAACGCCGCCCCCCTTCAAACCCCCAAACAGAAAAGGGCACATCCTCCTTCTGGCAACCCCCTGATGTACCATTTTCATGGGGGACCGCGCCGAAAAAGTGGTAACTTTATTAAACAACATTTCTCAAATGAAAAACAGTGTTTGGGGCCTAAATAGGGCATTTTTTCACTGCATGAGGCCTTAAAAGGGGGGGGGGTGGCAAAAAACACAGATAGTCAATATACTAATACGATGACTAATAAAGCATTAGCCTCCTAAACAAATGGCATGATAGTTAACAAAACATTGATCATATATGAAAGCTTACATATGGCAATGAAACATCAACATATATAAATTGACATATGACTGTTAGAAAATCATTGGCATGGATAAATAGAACAATCATTCTTAATGATTTTCTGAGATTTCTTTGGCACCGCTGATATTAATACAATATTTCAGTTGAGAATTTGGCAACTGCGATAAAACATTGTACACGTATATTGTCATTAATATCAAAACTTGTGAACCCACTTAACATCTCTATAAGTTGGTTTTCAATGCTCATACCGCTTAACATGCGGAAATAATTGTGTCCTAGCAAAGATATGAGTTTTGTCCATAGACTATATCTAATGTTATCATTATGTTAGCAATGAACGCATATTCATATGTCAGGGACTTTGGATTATTTCATGTGAGGAAGCTATCCAGCTAGCTTACGGAACGTCGGTGGTTCTACTCAGGTGCCCGTTCGTGCCTGAAATAATGCACGGAAGGGCACCTGAGGTCTTCCTCCACCAGTAAAGCTGGAACGTCGCGATATGACCTATACTGTGTCGATGTGACGTAAAACCCAAAACAAAACAAAATATTCATATGTTACAGTCTTGCAATAGTCACACACAACGAGATATTTTCTTTTGAAATATTTGCACATCAGTTTGAACAATGAAAAGCATTGTGTTTTATAAACCAGGAAATGTCTTTGAAAAATCCATAAAGAGCTGTCGTATGTGGAATGTATATTTAAAAATAGGTTGATATCGTCATCGTGCTCTACTCTAGATTTCCAAGTACAATGTACATGCTCGTGCACCGTCTTTTTGGTTATTCTTTTCCAAGCATATTTAGATGGAAAGAAACCTGTTTTTGAAAAGTCATGTAGATATTAAAATAGTTTGTATTTTCCAAGAACACTGATCACGTCGGGAATAAAGCCTTTAGATTTAGCAGGTCGTGCATAATATGATGTTAAACGATTAACAAAAATTTGCTTAAACTTCATATTTGAATATGCATGACATAGTTGGGACAAAAAGATAAGTTTTCTTATATCATAAGGTTAGAAATCGGATAAATCCCTAAACAACTGAGAGCAATGTCAGTACGAGTTCCATATGGAACGCATTGAATCCATTTGACGCATTGTCTATGTGCCCGTTCCAAGGGAAGTAACTGTGTCGCTTAGGTTTATTTGAATACGTCAAGGCCCATATGGGCATGTGACAACATAAAACAGTACATACATACAAAATAATACAAAATGGCAAATAATATGTAAAAACAAAATACTACAAAATGGCAAATTATAAATAGTCATACAACTCCATGATGTAATAAAATTACAGTAATAATTGACTGATAATGGAGGATGAGAGAGAAAAATCAAAAATCATTGCGAGAAAAAAAAACAAAGAGAAAAGACATAAATCTAATAAGCTAACATTATTTAAATAATAACATAATATTTTTGCAAAATATGGCAAATTTCAAAAGGATATCTGTTTTACTCTGGTTCATTAATTTTTCAAATTTTAAAGCACTTGGATGTTCATAGAAATATTTATCAAGATACAGCTTTCTTGTATTAACTAAATGTGAACATTCAAAAAGATAATGGAATTCGTCGCCTAAAGAGTTACTGGTACATAGATTACAAGTTCTAAGTTCTCTTGGAATATCATCAAACCTTCCTTTTTCAATAGGAAGTTTGTGATTCATACTTCTAAATTTAAAGAGAATTAAAGCTAAATTCATAGGTAACTTGCTGAGGTATGGCTCAAAACAAAAATCCTGTTTATAAATCCTGTAATTTAGACATTTACTGGAATTATTAATTGTACTTCTCCAATTTTGCATAAAATGATCACGCAGTCTTAAGTTGACAGTATTCTTGAATGAAGCAGGAGATTCCACATTTTGATTTATCCAGAAATGCGACAATCCAAGCTCATTTAAATTATTTCGAACAAAACAGACCCAATCTGATTTAATATTATTCAGAGTATATAAATTATGAGTTGTTCTATATAGAATGCTGATTATCTTATCATGTTTAGAATTAACTATTTTACCCCAGTAATTAAGAACTCTACTTTTAATTTGTGTTGAAAGTGGGGTAATACCCAATTCCCCATAAATCATAACATTTGGAGTACTCTGTTTCAACTGTAGAATTATCTTTAGGTATTTTAATTGAAATTTATCCACAACACTCACATCTTCAACACCCCAAACTTCACACCCATACAACAAAATGGGTGCTATCATTGTATCAAACAAGTGTAATTGCATATCTATTGGTAAATTAAGTATCCTAGATTTCCTAATTACAGAAAACATGGCTTTACGGGCTTGATCAATAAGGAATGTTTTAGTTCTGCTGAATTTACCATTAAATGAAAATTGTACACCTAAATATGAGAAATGCTCAACAATTTCAAGGACAGTCCCCTCATAGTGAAAGTTAGGCATATTACGCAAACCTCTCTTGGTTTTCCAAAATATAATAACTTTGGTTTTATTTGTATTTACTTCAAGATTCCAAAGCTTGCAGTAGTCAGACATAGCGTTTAATGCTAACTGAAGCTGCTGAGAGCTCTCTGACAATATTACAGTGTCATCTGCATACAATAGTAAATACAGTTTAAGATAAACTTCCATTTCATCATCACTTAACATATCATTTATATGTTCTTTTAGAAACTGCAAACCTTCATATTTATCAGACATAAAATTAGTTAGATCATTCAAGAAAAGAGAAAACAATATTGGAGATAAAGTTTCACCTTGTCTTACTCCAGTATGACTAGTGAAAAAATCTGAAATTGTATTATTCGAACTAACACATGACTTAGCTTTGTCATACATATTGTGTATTATTTTAAAGCATTTCCCATCAATATTGTAACTTAATAATTTATGCCACATGGCAGTGCGATTTACAGAATCAAAGGCCTTGCGATAATCTACAAATGCACAATACAATTTTTTTCCATGTGCTAGATATACGTCCACTAGAAGTTTTAATGAAAATATGTGATCAACAGTACTATAATGCTTCCTGAAACCTGCTTGTTCTTCACATAGAATGTTGTTTGATTCCAAGAAGTCATTTAATCTGTTATTAAGTACCGAAGTGAAAAGTTTTCCAAAGCAACTGAGTATTGTTATGCCCCTGTAATTATCCGGATCATTAACATCCCCTTTATTTTTATACAATGGTAAGATAACTCCCTTGCTCCACACATCCGGAAAGATACCAGAGTCTAATATAATGTTAAAAAATAGCTTAAGTACAGCCAGCAGATTATCAGGAGCATTTTTGAGATACTCATTAATAATATTATCAAATATAGATGGACTTTTATTATTCTTAAGCGCCTTTATAGCCTTATCTATTTCTTGCTCAGTAAATTGCGAATTCAGTGCCTCATTAAACATTGGTAAGTTGTTAACATTAAAATTATCTACGTCATTTTCATTTCTTAAAATATCTGCATTCAAATTACTGAAATGCTCATGGAAAACCTCATTAGTTATTTTATTTATTATCACTTTTTTATCAGAAGAATATTTATTTAATAAACTCCAATAAGATTTAGGATCACTATGCTTTAGTCCTCTCAGTTTTTTTATGACATTGTCATTGAAACTGTTAAACTTTTTATTTAATTCTTTTTTATATCTTCAACTGTTTATCATCATAAGGTTTTTATTACCTTCGGTTTTATTTTTCCTATAGGTATTTCTGCTTAGGTAATATTCCTTTCTAAATTTCGAGCAATCTTTGTCGAACCATTTTTGGTCAATTTTGCATTTTTTCTTTCTGTGAAATATTTTTTTTTCTTGTATTAAATTACACCTTTTAGCAGCGTTAGTTATGATACTTGACAGTTTTTCAGTCAAGGAATTAATACATTCATCGTTATAATTCTTATCATTTAATATTTTAATCATTTCTTCTGTAATATTATTTGTATCGATATTATCAAACTGATTTATATAATCATCCTTCAGATTTTTATCCCATGTT